CAAACTAGCCTTCTATCTTTCCTATACAATTAAATAAAACTGAGATTTTGTTTGAAGAATAAGCCCACTACAGATTATAAAACAATGTCCAAGTGTTTATCAAGTGCCAACCCTTTGTTAGTTTTCACATGCATCCTAGTCAAAGGCATTATTATCCTGTTTCCAGTTAAGAGAAGATGAAATATTTATAGAAATTCCAAATTTTATGTGTGAAAAATATGAGATTTAGACTTTCCTGTCCTGATTCATAACCCAGGTCTCTGTCTCTGCAACCAGAGCTGAGTGATGGTGTTTCTTATCAAATGAGAAATGAAGACTGGAAACATGATTCTTCCTCTTACAAGTAGGTGAATTGATCTGTGAATTAACAAAATAGGTCAAATGATTTACAGAGAACTTTATAGCATGAATCTTGTGGATTGTAGGATTTTCTGTGAAAAAATACTGCATATGAATTCATACTCTGGAAATCTGAGCTCTGAGAATTATATTTCCTACACAGGATAGTAAGTTTGATGTAGATCCATCACAGAATGACTTTTACCAGAAAATTTCCATGGGTATTGGTGATTCCGTACCCTTACAATAAAAGCATAAAATTGTGCTTGATTTTCTACTGGTAAACCAACATTTGCAATTAATTGTAAATTTGGACATGCATCAATTTTACTCCTCTTCTATTCTCCATAGAAATATCATATAGAAATGCTCATCTCTGTGATATAGAGAGTAAAACAAGACATTTGCTATGCTGGTCTTACTGTGAAATTTACAATTAACATGATCATTTGCTCAGGACATTTAAAATGCTCACACATTTAAAATGTGTGAAGTAGAAGTATGTACTTCCCAGATAAAGTTAAAACATAACTTTGTACTAATTGAGAATTTTTGTGGGTCCATATGTGCAGGATTATACTATTAAAGCACATTTTCAGGAAAACTGGTTAGAGATGCATCAATGAATATTGACTATATGAAAACGTTGAAGAGGAAAAGATGCCCACTAAATTTATAATTTATGACAGAGGGAAATAGTGTTGTTGAGGAAAAGGGTAATACAAAGAGAAAAAGAAACCTCAAGTTTTTTTCAGTAATAACTTAAATCCCTGAAATATGAATTATGAAGCAAATATTAAGTGTTCAAGAATTTAATGTCAGGATTGGCTATTAATAATAATGATAGGTCACCTTCGTGGAGCACTTACTAAGTGTCTGACAATACTCTAAAACAATGGCTCTCAACTCTGGGTGTACTTCAGGATAGCTCATGGGTTTTAGGTTGTGCCCAGCTAGTCATTGTATTTTTAATGATCCGTAGGTAATTATAATGATCTACTAACCTTGATAACCACTGTTGTAAGCATGTTATATGTATTATTTAATCTAATATCTTTATACAGCTCTAAATGTTAGGCTTATTTAATATATTTTCAAAAAATATACAAATTACCAAGGAGTATTCCTATTATCCTGTGTCCTTTTTGCTTTATATTTATCCAAATTAAATCAAATGAGACCTACCAACAGAAAGTAAGGGAGTTGTCATCAGGGAACTGAAATAAGAAGAATTACAATCTCCCTGATAGGGAAGGGTTGACTTGGAAGGCTCTTAAGTAGACCTAAGGTATGTGGGTTTCAACAGTCATGTTGTCAGAATGAACCATTCCCTTGAGAAGGATAGCATGCTTGGTAAAGTGGAGGGTCAATGAAAAAGAGGAACAAAATGGATTGACACAGTGGCTACAACTATGCGCTCAGTTATACAAGATTGTGGGGATGGCACAAGACCAGACGGTATTTCATTCTCCTGTACATAGGATCACTATGAGTCAGAGACAACTTGATGGCACCTAACAACAACAGTATTGACTAGTCTTCCTTGTAGACATATGTATATTATCCTATCACTGACAGTATTGTACTTCAGGAAAGATCTTGAAACGTTCTTTCTGATGATTTATACCACACCGTTCCTTTTCAATTTTAATTCCCAGAAAAATAGATCATATGATTGTTTGATTCCCAGTGGCCAAAACCAGTCCGTTTCAGCTCACTTATATCTAGGTTATCAAACTTTATGCTTTCCATTTCATTTTTGACAGCTTCTAATTTTCCTACATTCATACTTTGTACATTGCATGCTACAATTATTAATGGATGTTTGCAGCTGTTTCTTCCATCTTGACTCATGCCCCATCAGGAAATGAAGGTCCCCAAAACTTTACTCCATCCATTTCATTAAGATTGACTCTACTTCAAAGAGGCAGCTCTTCCCCAATAGTATTTTGAGTGACTTGAAACTTGAGTGTGTCATCTTCTGGTGTGATATCAGCCAATGATTCAGGACTATTCATAAATTTTCCAATAATATATCCAGCAGTGTGTCACCACTATTTGTAAGGTTTTCACTGGCCAATTAATTAATTAATTAATTAGAAAAGTGGTGGCCCCTTCCTTTTTCCAAGTATGTCTTACTCTGGAATCTCATTTGAAACCTGTCCATCATGAATGACCCTGCTGGTATTTTAAAGACCTGTGGCATAACTCCTAGCCTTGCAACAACACACAAACCACTTCAGTATAACAAAATGACAGACTAGTGGTGGCAAATGTTTCTTAGTGTTCTTTAGCTGGAATGATTTTTATCTTAAAAGAAAGATATTTCTGATTGCATATGTTTCCCTCATTGAAGGTTTGCTATATTGTTCCTTTACAGAAGCTCTGGTAGTGTAGTGCCTAAAGCAGGTGACTGCTAACCAGAAGGTTGGTAATTCAAACCCATCAGGCACTCCATGAATGAAAAACTGGGCAATCTACTTCTGTAAAGATTTACTGTCTCAGAAACCTAAAGGGGCTCACTATGAGTCAGAATCAACTTAATGGCAATGAGAATGAACTTGTTAAATGGTCTCTTTCATTCTTTCTTTAACCCAGTGTATGTAAAGTGGATGTGTACAGAAAGAAGTGAATAGTACCAAAAAGATGAAGCCAGATTTCTGAGAAAGACAGTGGTTGGGTTTGCTACAACTGAGTAATATTACTGAAGGTATTGGGATATTCAGTCCTCAAGTGTGAACACTTGTGAATTTGTATGCTTTATTTGTAAATATCTTGAATTCAAAATACAGAAACAGTGCTGGGTGACTGTTAACTTGTTTCTTTTTATCAATCTTCCTTTCCTTTTCTAAAATCTGTCTCAGGTATGGAGCCACGGAACCTAACAGGTGTCTCAGAATTCCTTCTTCTGGGCCTTTCTGAGGATCCAGCACTACAGCCCCTTCTTTTTGGGCTGTTCCTGTCCATGTACCTGATCACTGTGGTTGGGAACCTACTCATCATCCTGGCAGTCAGCTCTGACCCTCATCTCCACACTCCCATGTACTTCTTCCTCTCCAACCTGTCATTGACTGACATCGGTTTCATTTCTACCACAGTCCCCAAGATGCTGGTGAACTTGCAGACACAAAGCAAATCCATCATTTATGTGGGCTGCCTGGCACAAGTTTTTTCTTTATATCTCTTTGGATGTCTGGACAATTTCTTCCTCACTGTGATGGCTTATGATAGGCTTGTGGCCATCTGTTACCCCTTGCACTACACAGTCATCATGAACCCCCGCATCTGCCATTTGCTAGCTTTGGTATCTTTTTTCCTCAGTCTTTTGTACTCCCAGATACACCTTTCATTGGTGTCACAAATTAACTTTTGCACAAATGTAGAAATTCCTAGTTTCTTCTGTGACTCTCCCCAACTCTTTAAACTTGCCTGTTCCGACATCTCCACCAGCACCATATTTGTATATTGTATTGTTGCCATCTTTGGTGGTATTCCAGTCTCAGGGATCATTTTCTCTTATATGCGAATTGTTTCCTCCATTCTGAGAGTCTCATCTTCAGGTGGGAAGTATAAAGCCTTTTCCTCCTGTGGCTCTCATCTGTCAGTTGTTTGTTTATATTATGGGACAGGCCTTGGAGCAAACCTCAGTTTAGCTGTCTCATCTTCTGCCTGGAAGGGTGCAGTGACTTCAGTGATGTACACGGTGGTCACCCCAATGCTGAACCCCTTCATCTACAGCCTGAGGAATAGGGACATCAAGAGAGCCCTGCGGAGGCTCATCAGCAGAGCAGCCTGATCTCAAATCTTGTGCCATCTTTCTTCGATGTGAGGGTTGGAAAAATGGCAAAACCTAATATCTGCAGGAAGAATCCTTTCTTCTTGGCTTGCATAATTTTTCTAGCTCTCATATGTTTCAATGATGATTTTTCATACCTGAACATTCTTCCTTTGTCACATCTTTAATGAGTAAGGGTAGTATTCTGGGATTTGTTGACCTGCAATATCATATCCCATTATAGCTCTGGTGCCTTTTGTATGTTGCCCACTACCACCCAAGAGTACTGATAAAATGCATTACTTCATTTTTATGTATTTAGAATCATCATCCATTACCATAATTTATATATATTACCAAGACCACTTTTACATCTAAAACCAAAACCAAACCAAACTCACTGCCATCGAATCAGATCTGACTCATAGTGATCTCTCCTTGGGTTTCCGAAGTGGTATCACTACAGAAGTAGATCACCCAATCTTCCTTCTGAGGAGTTCCTGGTGAGTTTGAACTGTCAGGCTACTGGTTAGCAGCAAATTGCCTTAGGCACTACGCCACGAGAGCTTACATCTAACAGAACTAAATATGAGAGTTGTGTGTGAGAATACATGTCACTGGACCTGAAATTTGACTTGAAATTGGAATCATTTGGGAAGTTTAAAAATTTTGATATTTTTTTTCCCACCACTACAGATTCTGATTTGATTAGAACAGCATGTGGGTGAAACATAAATATTTAAAAGACCACAGGTGGTTTTAATGCTTAGAGAAAGTGAGGACTACTCATATTTTCTAGACTTTGCCTTCAAAGATAACTAGTGTGTTGTGAGTCTTTTACTACTCCTGAGCTGATACTGAAATGTCCAAGTGATAAGAGCTCACAATGGGTAAGACATGAAAAAAAATTATCATAAGAATAGGCAATGGGATATCTGGCGAGATGGCTTCATAGGCAGACAAGCTATATAGACCGTCTACAACAAAGAAATGAGAAACCAGTTGAAACAGATACAAAAGAAAATCCAGGGACCATGATCTTCAAAGAGAAGGGTACAGAATGGCTTAAATACTAACTAGTATAAGAAATTATATTAAAACAGTGAATAAGGAGACAAATAGAGTTGTATACTATCAATTGTCCTGATGGTGTGGACATTTTAAATGATTGCAGGCAGATTTTAAATCAGAGCAGCAACCTGATAATCACTTCCACATGCTAAAGACTACATTGGCAACCACCAAGGTGGCTGATGAACAGATAACAACTTTGCCCACACCCCCAACCATATCCTTACATCCTACAGCCCCACACACTGGCTGAGTGCCACCACCTGCTTGTGGACAAATGGATCAATTTTAAAGGGAATACAGTACTAGCCCATCCCACTCTGAACTGCTGTACATTAAAATATAACGGATATATGTGCACACACTCTCATCCTGTCAACAGATTGAAAGACTGATCAAGGGGAAAAAAACTAAATAAATAAAGGAAAACACTGAAAAAAAAATCAAGGAAAACACAGACAAAAATCTGTATGTATTTAGGTAAACAGTACAAGAAAAACTGAAAAAAATAAGTGTAAAATTAATAACTATATATAAACAGTAAATACAAATAGAGAAGACAAACTCTAAAGTTTCAGAAATAGATAACACCAAAAAGCAGGTAACATCAAAATCAGTGGAAGGCAGTATAAGTGAAATTGAAGACAAATCTCTCAATACCATTGTTCTTTAAAAGAACAATCAAAATAAAGAACACATACCATAAAGAAAAGAAGGAGAAGGGGAGGGAGGAGAAGGAGAAGAAGGAGAAGGAGAAGAAGAAGAAGAAGAAGAAGAAGAAGAAGAAGAAGAAGAAGAAGAAGAAGAAGAAGGAGGAGGAGGAGGAGGAGGAGGAGGAGAGATGATTTACATGGAACTTTTTCAAAAGGAATAAATTATATGTGATTGGAATTCCGGAACAAGAACAAGTAAAACCACAAAGAAAATTGTGAAAAATTTGCTGGAAGAGATTTTCCATTCTATAATGAAACACAAAAAGATATGCATCCAAGAAACTTAAGAAACCCCAAACATGAGAAAATCATCAAGACATAATCAAACTTTCTAAAACCAAAGACAAGGAGATAATTCTGAAAGCAGTATGGGAAAAATGACAAGTTATCTACAAAGAACAACCTATAAGAATAAACTAATTTCTCAGTAGAAACCATGCAGACCATAAGACAATGTGATGACATATAGAAAACCATGAAAGGGGAAAATAAACAAATAAATAAAAGCCATCCAAGAATAATAGACCCAGCAAAATTGTTCCTCAAAATTCATTTTGAAATTAGGACATTTCCAGATAAACAGAAGTTAAAGGAATTAAAAATAAAATACAGACAAGCCTTGTTGTTGGTGTTAGGTGCCATCCAGTTGTTTCTGACTCATAGAGACCTGATGCACAGCAGAACAAAACACTGCCCAATTCCATGCCAGCTCCATGATCCCTGCTATACTTGAGCCCATCATCACAGCCACCATGTCAATCCATCTTTTTGAAGACCTCCTACTCTTTCCTAGACCCTCCACCCTACCAAGCATGACATCCTTCTCTAGGGAATATCAGTACGCCGCTTCCTTTGCCACATCTTTAATGATATATTTGGAGTATTTTGGGATGTGTCCATTTTTATGATCAAATCCCATTATAGCAATGGAGACTTCTATAGCTTCTCATCTCTGATCCAAGCTTCCTGGGAAATATGTCACTCTATTTTTAGGTATCTATAATCTTCATAGGAGCTCTGGTAGCATAGTGCCTAAGGCACTTGACTGCTAACCAGAAGGTTGGCCGTTCAAACCCACCAGCCACTCCTCGGAAGTAAGGTTGGGCAATCTACTCCCATAGTGATACTGCCTCGGAAACCCCAGGAGGGGCTGTTATGAGTCGGGTCCGACTCCACAGCACATAACAACAACAACATAATCTTCATGCTTTACCATAATTTGTGTCTATTATCCAGACTACTTTTGCATCTAACAGAAGTGGATATGCAGTCTATGTTTGAAAATGTATGTTACTGGTCCTGAACCTTGACCACTGCAAATTCTGATTTCATTGCAACAGTTTGTGCTTTAAGGATGAAATGTGGAAAGCACTACCCATGGTTATAATATGCAGCCAAGGTGAGAACTACCAATCTTTTCAGACTTTTCTTTCCAACATAACTTATTTCTTGTGGGTATTTTATTCCTCTTGAGCAGATGTGAAGATCTCAAAGTGATCAGTGATCACAAGGGAAAGATACAAAAGAATTTACCATAGGAACAAGCAAGTGACTGCTCCCAATGATTCTGGTATTCCTTCTCCTGTCTTCTCCCTCTACATCATGGTGATGTTCACTGCACTTGAGTTTCCTCCTTGACACATGGTGACCCGTGGGCAACAGAAGAACATGCTGCCCAGTCTTAAACCATCTCCAGGATCAATTTGGATTAGACCATTGTGGTTCATACAGCTTTCATCAGATGGTGTTTGGAAGTAGGTTGCCAGGCACTTCTTACTAATCCATCTTTGGGATTTTTGCTGAAGCTTGTACAATATTTTAGCAAACACAAACCTCTACTGACTGGTAGTGGCTGCATATGCAGTACATTAGTGGGGAATGGAAGCTGGTCTTCGGATCCAAGGGGAGATTTCTATCAACGAAATACTAGTGCCCCTGGTTTACACAAGATAAAAATGGTCATATGTGCTTGTTGGTAAGATACTGTCACCCTTCTCCAAATTCACCATTCTAAACTTTACTTTGTGATGTTAGGTTGGAGAGGGGAGGATCTCTAAGCCACTGTGTTGATTCCCATCTGACTTTATTGTTAGGTTCTTCCAATAATGTTCACTAAAAGTCACCACAACTTAATAAACTCAACATTTTCCTCGTACCTGTTTCATGAGGCCTGGATGTGGTAGTTTTTCTGCCATTATTATCTCTGTATTGCCACATGGCTCCCTTTTGCCTTTCAGTCACTATATAATTATTGTACCAATGTTCTGTACTGAATGCTTTTCAATGTGTTTTCAATTTGCTTTATTGAATCCTGACTAATAAATTTTATATGAGAATAAAGGTATCAGAGGAATATTTACAACAAATATTAGAAAACATGCTGAAGAAAAAAGATGTGATTTGAAATGGTATGTCGTGGTAAAGATTGTCCAAGTAAGGATTAAGGAGGTGGTCTCTATTTCCTGTTGCTGTGGTTCTGGTGATGTTCTGGAATCATTAATTCATCGAGGAATTATGAATAAATTGTATTCTATCATCTCATTTTTCATTAGCTAGGAGAGTCATGTCTTAGCAAAGGGAAGTTCTTGCCTTCCACTAGTAACAGCCTGATTAAGACCTGACTGTTTTACCATATTTCCTTTTGTTTGGGCTTCTTCTGTGTTCTTTTACATGAATATGCATGCATCCATTACAGACAATGATATAATTCCTGAGAAAGCAATTTTGGGCTCTGAAAACCTACAAAACCAGTAGTTTAATTTCCTCTATCTTTTACTCTGTAGGTAAATCACCTATATACTTTTCTGAAGAGAAACTTGGATAGTGGAGAATCCTTTTCAGTGGAAGATAGCATTGTAGTTTTTGGGAAGATAGAGTTCTCTTTCTCTGATGATGGTAAATGTCCATGAGATTTTATTGGGCCCAAGTACCCTAGATCTAGGTTCTCTATCTATTTCTGCAAACATGTTGTTGTTAGGTGCCATTGAGTCAGCTCTGACACATAGTGACCCTATGTATAACAGAACAAAACGCTGCCTGGTCCTGTGCAAGCTCCACAATCCTTGGCACAATCTGTGGCATAACCTCCAGGCTCACAGCAACATGCAAGCCAACAGAGTAAGACAAGCTGACAGACAAATTTGTCTCCCTTATTTGTTCCAAGCTGCTCCGCTCACTTCCCTAGCTGTTCTGGCCTACCATCAGTGTTCTGCAAATGTAGGGGTGACCCAAAAACTC